TTGTGAAACACCTCCACTTTGTTGATAGGAATCACCCCAAACTTCCAGATACTTGCCATTTCAATAAAACCACCATGCTCCTATGCTGGTATTCCTGTCCTTGGCCTTCCATACTGTTCCAATGAAGCTCAATGCAAAGCTAGGGGAACAACAACTCATTTTATGTTTAGGCACTGTCCGGCCTTGAGAACACAATACTGAGTTCCACAACTTCAGAGTATGTCCTCTGTACACAATTTTTCTTAAATCCTCTCACCTTCCCTCGCCTGTGTCTTTTTGGGTTTGCTCTCATAAGAGGACCCATTTGCTCCTTTTTACAGCTAACATTTACACGTATTTTGCATATCTAGTACTCCTTCATCAGGATTATCACTGCCTTTATCTTTAACCCTGGGTTCCCTCACAATCTGTTTCACTTGCTTCTCCTCCCGCCTCTGTCTACAGCATGAAAATCACAATTTTCCAGTCCTTTACAGTTCCAACAAAAAAACACGCTAGACTTGAGATGTCTGTTTCTCTTCCACAAATGCTGCCAGACCTGCTGAGTTTCTCCAGCATATTCAATTTTTATAACACACCACTCAGTTTTTACAAACCCTTGCAAGGACAGCTGTGCCCTCAGAAGGTGTAACAAATGCTGACTCACCAGCATTGCCTGCATCCCATGAAGTAATTGAAAAATGTTGGTGTGATCTGAGAATTCACTTGATTGTAAGTTGGCACAGGATGGAGACCTGTGGCAAATCACTGCTTTTATGTAATCTTGGCTGAGAAATAACTGAAAAGCTCAGTTTCTTGTTGACTTGTTGTTTATGAGATTAGTTGTGTTGCTTGTGATGTTTTGGTCAGGGTTGACATGATTCTGTCCTTTGATTCTCCAGGGCTGTGTTGGTGAGCTCGACAGTGAAAAGCCGGCTTCCCAAAAGCATATCCCAGGAACATTCCATAAAGCGCGGTGGGATTAATGTATATTGTGTCAAAAAGAGTTTGACTCGAGACCGGGTGAATTACACCTGGAACAGAGGTGGGCGATTAAAGGAACTTCGCATAAGGTAAAATCTGCAGTTAATGGGCCTTGAAAGACCCTTCTTCCATTTTAGAGGCCAGCTTTTTGACACTAACAAGTTTGTGCAAAGCCACTCAAATGAAGTCAGCATGTGAAAAGGTTTCTTGGACTGTTTAGCATCTGAATTGGAGTTATTCAAAAGTCAATCATTTTGCATCTAAACTTTTTTTTTTGGGAGATTATAGGAAACATTGATCATTATGTGTAAATAACTTATTTCCACTATTTCTGTATTAAAGTTGCTTCTCTTATCGCAGTAGCTCTAGTTATCTGAATTGATATTGCTATCTCAACTTTCCCACGGACTTTGTTGGACTGTGGGCCTTTTCTACTTTACTTTTGTCTGTGGATGATTTCCGCTCATTTCATAAGACCATAAGATACAGGAGCAGAAATTAGGCCATTTGGCCCATTGAGTCTGCTCCGCCATTCAATCGTGACTGATAAGTTCCTCAACCCCATTCCCCTGCTTTCTCCCCATAACCCTTGATCCCCTTGATAATCAAGAACCTATCTATCTCAGTCTTAAATGTACTCAATGACCTGGCCTCCACAACCTTCTGTGGCATTGAATTCCATAGATTCACCACTGAGTGGCTGAAGAAGTTTCTCCTTATCTCCATTCTAAAAGGTCTTCCCTTTACTCGAAGGCTGTGCCCTTGAGTCCTATTCTCTCCTACCAATGGAAGCATCTTCCCAACATCCACTTTGTCCAGGCCATTCAGTATTCTGTAAGTTTCAATTAGATCCCCCCTCATCCTTCTAAACTCCAATGAGTATAGACCCAGAGTCCTCAATCGTTCCTCATACGTTAAGTTTTCCATCCCTGGGACCATTCTCATGAACCTCCTCTGAACCCACTCCAGAGCCAATACATCCCCCCTGGGATATGGGGCCCAAAACTGCACACAATACTCCAAGTGTGGCCCGACCAGAGCCTTATAAAGCCTCAGTAGTATATCCCTGCTTTTATATTCAAATCCTCTCAAAATAAATGCCAACATTGCATTTGCCTCCCTGACTACTGACTCAACCTGCAAGTTTACCTTGAGAGAATCCTGGACTAGAAATCCCAAGTCTCTTTGCACTTCAGACTTCTGAATTTTCTCCCCATTTAGAAAATAGTCCATGCTTTTATTCTTCTTACCAACGTGCATGACCTCACAATTTCCCACGTTGTACTCCATCTGCCACTTCTTTGCCCGCTCTCCTAACCTGTCCAAATCCTTCTGCAGCCTCCCCACCTTCTCAATACTACCTGTCCCTCCACCTATCTTCGTATCGTCTGCAAACTTAGCCAGAATGCCCACAGTTCCTTCATCTAGATCATTAATGTAGTGAAAAGCTGTGGTCCCAACACTGACCCTTGGAACACCACTTGTCACCAGCTGCCATCCTGAGAAAGACCTTTTATCCCCACTCTCTGCTTTCTGCCAGACAGCCAATCTTCTAGCCAGGCTAGCACCTTGCCTCTAACACCATGGGCCCTTATCTTACTCGGCAACCTCCTGTGCGGCACCTTGCTAAAGGCCTTTTGGAAATTCAGGTAGATAACATTGGCTGTCCTTGATCTACCCTGCTCATTACTTCCTCAAAGAATTCTAGCAGATTTGTCAGGCATGACCTCCCTTGATGAAACCATGCTGACTTTGCCCTATTTTACCATACACTTTCAAATAGTCAGAAATCTCATCCTTCACAATGGACTCCAAAATCTTACCCACGACCGAGATTAGGCTAATTGGCCTGTAATTTTCTGTCTTTTGCCTTACTCCCTTTTTAAACAGGGGTGTCACGTTAGCGCTTATCCAGTCCTCTGGGACCCTCCCTGACTCTAGCGATTCCTGAAAGATCACCACTAACACTTCCACTATCTCTTCAGCTATCTCCTTTAGAACTCTGGGGTGTAGTCCATCTGGTCTGGGTGATTTATCCACCTTCAGGCCAATCAGTTTTTCTAGCACCTTTTCCTTGGTGATGGCCACCATACTCGGCTCTGCCCCCTGCCTGTCTTGAATTTTTGGGATAATACTCGTGTCTTCCACTGTGAAGACTGACGCGAAGTAATTATTCAGTTCCTCAGCCATTTCCTTGTTCCCCATTACTATCTCTCCAGTGTCATTTTTACTTCCCTTGTTCTCATGTCCTTATGCCAATTAGCACGTGGCTTGGGCAGTAATCCGGAGATTATAACCCTTGAGGACCTGTTCTTTAATTTGGTTCCTAGCTCCTGATAATCTCTGAACAGGTCCTCTTTCATAGTCTTGCCTATGTTGTTTGTTCCGGCGTGGACCACAACAACTGGATCCTCTCCGTCCCGCTCCAATATCCTTTCAAGCCAGTCAGAGATATCCCTTAGCCTGGTACTGGGCAGGCAACACACCATGCAAGACTCTCGATCCTGCTTACAAAGGATACTATCTATCCCCCTAATTATAGAATCTCCTTCAACTACCACTTGTCTTTTTGCTCCTCACCTCTTGAATGGCCTCCCGTACCACAGTGCAGTGGTCAGTTGGGTCATCCTCCCTATTCGGGTACAAAAAACGCAGTCCGAAGTATTTGTACCAATGAGATGAAATTATTTTTCAAAGATGGCCAACTTTTCACCTAAGGTGAAATAAGGCTGAATTAATTTTTAATGAAGATTTTTGCCTTCAAGCCTCCTGAATTCCTTCCAATTGTAATAAAGAACCTCCAGCAGTCACTATTGTTAAATTTCTTCTCTCTTCAGTGACACTGTTGAATTGAAGACTCGTTGTGACTTGTTCTTTTCAATGCTGTGGAGTCTTTATTGCTTCTGTTTTCCTTTTTTCCTGAAGCCCACAGAATTTTAAAATTTGTTGTCATCTGACAATTGCATCTTTTTATTTACATTTGTCAACTTTTCTGTTGACCTGTGGCCTTGGCTCTTCACTTTAACCAGATTTTATGAAAGGAGATAACTTTTAGTTTTCCTGCTGCATCCAGTTGCTGGCTAACTTAAAAACACCACAGACTTTCCAGCAGTCTGCGAACTGAAATTGTAAATTGGTGTGTGATTTTGACGCACACAGTCCAGAGAAAATATAAATGTGAAGTGGACATAACTTTGTCAGGTAATATTTATTGTTCTTGTTTTGGCACTCCATTACACCAAATATATTTGAGTCAAAAGTTAAGGCTCAATAAAATACTAGAGATGGAAAGAGCTACAACAGATATAACAGATTTAAAAAAAAGATGCAGATTGTATTTATTGGAACAGAGGATGCTAAGGAGAAACCTAATTTTGCATAACCTTATAGAGATTTATAAAATCATGAGGGGCATAGATAGGGTGAACAGCCAAGTTCTTTTTCCCAGGGTTGTGGAGGCCAAAACTAAAGAGCACAAGTTTAAGCTGAGAGGGGAAAGATTTAAAAGGGACCAAAGGGGCAACATTTTCATGCAGAGGGTGGTGTGTGTATGGAACGAGCTGCCAGAGGACGTAGTGGGAGTAGGTACAATTACAATATTTAAAAGACAACCGGATGGTGTATGAATAGGAAGGGTTTAGAGGGATATGGGCCAAATGCTGGCGAATGGGACTAGATTAATTTAGGATATCTGATTGGCATGGACTGAAGGGTTGTTTGCATGCTGTGTAACTTTATGACTCTATAATGGGTTTCAAGTAAGTTTGAAAGATAACTGATGAAATATAATTTCCATTGGTTGGTTGAATCAGTAACAAGCAGACATGTAATTGTTTTGATGAAGAGAGTTATTAAGAATATAACCAAAAGCAGCTAATGGTCTCTTTGAGCGCTTGAAAATCATTAAATATCCAAGGATGTAGTTTGAATAATTTAGAGATTAAAGTATAGCAAATTAGATCTCTGCGTTGGGGTTTTGAGCTGAATGGTCTTTTTTCATGCTACAATCCCTGTTGTTCATTCCACTGACCAAATTTGAATTGTAATCTTATCCAGTGTACAGATTTCTATATAAACAAATGAATAAGTTATGTGGCTACTACTTCAGGCAGGTGTGTTGGCCTGGTTCCTGTTTAATAGTACAAATGATTGTATTCTGTGTAAAACATTATCATTCACAAATTGGATCTTATTTTAACTGCATCGCATTCGCCCAGAAAGTATCTCTTTCTAAATTCTGGTTGATCAGAGCTTTGATAAAAACGCCTACCCTCATCACACTGTCTTTAGATTTTATAACATGCATGGTGAAAAGCAGAATTAGTTTCTTCATTTTAATAGATCAATGTTAAAAATACAGCAGAAAGCTTCAGATTTGCTTTATTGTATTATGCTTACCTCATGTAAAAGCTTTCTGGTGTAAAATGCACTTGTTATTGCCTTGGGAGTTTAAGCTGTCAAGGTGCACTAAATAATTAAATTCTAAAATTTGCATCAAATTTGGAGTGTTGTTTATCAATCTTATGCAGAGGGCACAGCTATAAACTTCAAACATAACACATACATTACCCAGGATGAATGAAATATGTTATGAAATACAATCAATATGAGTATGTAGAAATAGGAAGGTTGCTGATCCTGCACCCTCCCCATTTTGAACACTATTCAGAAAATTTCTGCTTTTCTACTCTTGCAACCAAAGTGAATAACCTTGCTTTGCCATGTCACACTGCATTTGTAACTTTATTGTCCACCCTGTCTCTATTGCCTTGCAGCGATGCTGTGTTCTCTTCACAGCTTATGTTTCCATCTAGCTTTGTATCAACAGCAAATCTAGGATCCATGAACTGTGACAAGATTGTCTCAAACAGGTGGAATATTGTTGTCTTCTGAGAGTGACACAGTAGAAATGTGCCAAATGATTTGAATTTCACTGTCTTCCTGCTCCACTTTGGGGAGTGGGAAGAAATAGCAATTCTTCCTTATGAGTGTGAAGCTTCACAAATTCGACACTGGCATCCCAGCAACTTTTTACATTTTATCATACCAGCTTCAAGGTGTTGTTTCATGCTAGGTGGCCCAGATCAATGACTTAATTTTTCTGCCCAAATGGTAACATTGTCTTCTTATCCCAGGCACCTTGCGAGAAAATTTCTGCATTTGTGGATACAGAAGACATTTGGGAGAATCCTTCCATCCCAAGCTAGGTGAGCTACTATTTACTTTGTTTCCATCTCTTTTCATGTGGATATTTCTGAAGTTGGGGAGAATATGGCAAAATGGTTTCAGTCTTATGGGAAACAAATGCATAATATTAGGTTGCAAACAGAAATCCTAATCCTGTAATGAAGCCATGTGAATTACTGCATGTCATGATGTATGACAAAAATAGCTCAAGTGGCAGAGTTTAGAATGGCATTATGACTGAAACCATTTTGTCATATCTCAAACAGAAACTTTCAAGTAGCAAACTATTGTTGAATGGAGTGACATGTCTTTAAAATTTGATCTCCATTTTCTGTGGTTGAGGTGTTAGGGGGAATATTTTTCTCCCCTAACTTTAGAAATATCCACATTTTCAGGGCTAGTTGCAGCATTGATGTTGCCTAAATAAATTTTTAAAAAATTCACTCGTGAGACATGGGTGTCGCTGGACAGCCAGCATTTATTGACTGTCCCTAGTTGCTCTTGAGAAGGTGACGGCGAGCTGCCTTCTTGAACCACTGCAAGTCCGCTTGCTGTATCGATTGACCCACAATTTCCTTAGGGAAGGAATTCATGTAATTTGACCCAGCTACAGTGAAGGAATAGCCATACATTTCCAAGTCAGGATTGTGAGTGACTTGGAGGGGAACTTAGAGGTGTTGGCATTCCCAGATATCTGCTGCCCTTATCCTTCTAGTTGCAATTGTTTTCGGGTTTGGAAGGTTCTGAATCTCATCTGTAGTTTGTACATCTGTTTGAAGCATTCTGTTAGAATGTATTGAGCAAAATTTAATGCACAAGGCAAGCTTAGCATTCATCATTAAATTCAACTTGCTGTATGTTTCCTGCATTTCTGTTTTTATTTGGGGAAACAAGTTGTATGTCGGAAATGTCCCCTTTCTGAGTCTCCTGGAGATTTCAACAAGGAGTCTGCATGCTTCTGGATATTGATCTTGGGGAGTGGAGCTAACTGCATTTTTCTCCTAAACAGCAAGCACAGATAACAATGGCTTGAAAGAGATAGCAAGAACTGCAGATGCTCGAGTCAGAGATAACAAAGTGTGGAGCTGAAGGAACACAGCAGGCCAGGCAGCGTAAGAGGAACAGGAAAGTTCACGTTTTGGGTTGGGACCCTTCTTCAGAAATGGGGAGGGGAGCTCAGAAATAAAGAGAGAGGAGGGGTGGGGCTAGGGAAGGTAGGTGTGATGGTGATAGGTGAGTGCTACATTGGGTGCAGCGGATGCAATAGTCGAAGTTGATGGATGTGCAGGTGAACCCATGTCTGATGTGGAAGAGGTGTCTGTCCTTTCTCCCACCTATCTGCTCCTCCCACCTCAAACCCCACCCCCACCCCCACCCCCACCCCCACCCCCACCCCCACCACCTACCTACTAGCCTCGTCCCTGCCTCCTTGACCTGTCCGTCTTCCCTTGACTGACCAACCCCCATCCTAACTCCCCACCTACACTCACCTTTACTGGCTCCATCCCTGCCTCCTTGACCTGTACGTCTCCTCTGCACCTATCTGCTCCTTTATCCACCTTTATCCACATCCGCCTCCCCCTCTCTCTCTATTTATTTCAGAATCCCCTTCCCCTCCCCCATTTCTGAAGAAGGGTCTAGGCCCGAAACGTCAGCTTTCCTGCTCCTCTGATGCTGCTTGGCCTGCTGTGTTCATCCAGCTCTACACCTTGTTATCGCTGATGTGGAAGGTTTGTTTTGTGCCTTGAATGGAGGTGATGGGGGAGTGTAGGGGCAGGTGTAGCACTTCCTGCGGTTGCAGGGAAAGGTGCCGGGGGTGGTGCTGTTGTTGGGGAGTATGGAGTGGATGAGGGAGTCGCGGAGAGAGCGGTCCCTACGAAAGGCAGATAGGGGTGGGGAGGGAAATATATCTTTGGTTGCAGTGTTGGTTGTAGGTGGCGGAGAGATCCTCCTCCCCATTTCTGAAGTAGGGTCCTGACCGGAAACGCCAACTTTCCTGTTCCAGTGGCTTGAATGACTTGCATCTGTTTTGTGCAGTTCTCTATGAAGTTTAATAATGGCTGGAATTAATGTTTTTTTCTCCTGCAATTTTAATTAGAACATAACAGGAGTAGCTTTAAGCTTTTGGTATTTAATGTGATGAATGAATCACCTTTGAAGAATACTGAAGGAAAATTTTGAGATTTTGCAAAGAAGTTCAAATCAGGAATTTCAGTCTTTGTGTTGGGGTACATGTTCCACAGCACAATATGCTGCTATGAAACTTGGGTGCATGATGAGAGAGCTGTGATGACTGCTCCCCCACCACCACCTCCTCTGTCCACCTTCCCCTTCCTCCCCTCCTCCCCCCACCTGCTGAGTTCCTCTAGCATTTCATATTTTTACTTCCGATTTCCAGCAACTGTAACATACTGCTTTCATGTTAGATGTTAATAATGTTGATATTAATTGTAAAATAGATCTGTAAATGGTCCACGAATTATGTGGTTAAAGTATGAGATGGCGCATTTTATTTAGAATGCCTGATAATCTTTGAAACATAAAAGTCTGATTGGGGTAAAAGAGCAATGAGGTATGGATTCACGAATTATTCCAAATGCCAATGCAATTTAACAAAGCTTTAAATTTGCAAGTAAAACACAGGTTTGCTTTGAGAGAGAAACGCTTAAAAAGGCAAATGATAGGTCAGCCTTTATTGCACGCAAGTTGGAATATAGCAGTTGGGATATCCTGCTACTTCTGTAAAAGGTTGTGTTGAGGTCACACTTCGCTTTTAGTAAGCATTCTTGGCAGAAACCTCAATCAGCTGTTAAGAGATGAGACGACTGTTTCAAAAGGCATGCTGTTCTTTTTGCCAGGTCCCATTACTGTCATGCCACATTGCAAAAAGCATTTCGCGAATGGAAGGAGCAGTGGTGGACTGTGCGAATAGAATGGAAACTGACGGTTCGTGCAGACTGTCACTATAGGTAACTTTTTTTTTGTTTCTGCTCCACAGTCTCACACAAGCTAAACAAGAATAACAGTCGCATCACCAGTTCTGTTCTGTTCAGTTCCCATGTGTCTGCACTACCTGAGGGATTTCTGGGTACTGAATAACAGATAGCTGTTCTCATGTTAGGCAGTAGCGAGTCACACGAACCACTCTGTCCTAGGTCAGGGTAGGAAATTTTGAGAGAATGGAGCCATGGTTTTTGGAAATGCTTGAGGGTTTTGGAAAAGCACAGGATTTCTATTTGAATTTAATACCCCATAATGAAACAGCTAATTAATCTGTGCTCATGCATGGATATTTTTGCATTGTATGATAGAAAAGTGCAGATAATGCCTGAAGCTGTACTGCAGAATGAGTCAGAGTGGGATTTTAATGCAAGGCCATGTGTTAGTGAGAGAATTCGTTGTGAAATCCATCCTCAGATTTTTGGTCTGTCAGGAAATCTACGGATTTGGAGAATGGGCAGCAAAGTGAATCTGAAGCCCAATATCATCCATGGTTGTATTAAATGGTGAAGGAGCGTAGCCTCTATATTCCATATGGTCTACTCATATTTCTTATGCTCTGGAATCAGATTGAAGTTGTATTCTGTTTCTGTAATTTTCACATTCCTGCCCATAACAGATATCATACATACAATCAGACATGGAGAGCCTGGCACATGTACATCCTTCAGCAGCAAATGAAGAAAACAAAATTTGCAAAGGCGATTTCACACGGTATGAGAAGAAGATGCCTATATTGTAATTGATGGGGAAGTCTTGATTATCTTCAATTTTCAGATGGTATTTAATGCTGGCTTGATCTGAACTGAACCTAACCAGAATTCCAGTCTACAGAGTTGATCAAACAACTCTTGCAGACTTCTAGCTGTTTCAGAGATAGTAGGAACTGCAGATGCTGGAGAATCTGAGATAACAAGGTGTAGAGCTGGATGAACACAGCAGGCCAAGCAGCATCAGAGGAGCAGGAAGGCTGACGTTTCGGGCCTAGACCCTTCTTCAGAAAAGATATTTCTGGAGAAGGGTCTAGGCCCGAAACGTCAGC